AATGTATGCGATTTACAATTATTGGTATCGTTATAAATAATATTTTTATAGAAAAATTAATTTTAATTCTGCAATATATTTACCGTGCATCGAAGACTTTTGCGAACATATCTTTGAGAATATTATTTCTAGCGGTTTGTTTATAAATGAAAAAACATATATATACATTTGTTATATACAAGAATAGAAACATATATAACATTAAGTTTTTATAGATAGATTGTAAATGTATATAAATTATATAGTAAGATGTACCAATACAATAATAGATTCTACATTATAACAATTACACGTTGACTAATGATTATAACATATATATTTTAATTTTTAATACTCTTAGGTTCTTGGGAGGCAATCACATATACTGTGAATGCAAAGTTTTATGTGATTTTTTTTGTTAATCATTCCTATAACATGAATGTATTATTTATTATAGATAGATGAATATTTACATTCAATTATTTAGTTAACATATATTGAACACTTTGAGCGTAGATATAAATTGATACGTCGAAATATCATTGTATGCATATCCAAATGTCCAAAATATATGTGTTGCTATTATTCACTCTTATGTGCTTTACCCCAGAATTACATTTTTACATATATAGATATAATTTTATAACCTTTACATAATCTTATATACCTTTACATAATTTTAATTATGTTTTGAAATTTTCAATTTTTATGCGATCTTTACCGATTGTTAATGTACAAATATGTGAATGTTGTTTGCATTCCATTAACTTTACTTTTACCTTTTTCTCACATATTGCACTTTATTCATATTTCGTCTCAAGTCATATAAACTTTATGTCAATAATACAATAAAATCTCTCTTACACGCATCCTAAATTGCACAAGGTATTTCTTATACATTTTTAAGCACATAAAGCACCGACTTGTACATATACGATTCAAATCCGTACATATTTATTACATTTGCGATATAGAATTATTTGTGAATATATGAAGAGAATATTTGTATTTTAGATCTCTTTTTTTAAATTAATGTTGTGCACTATGGTATTGGTACATCATTTTTATTTCAAACGTATTGCAGAAGGCTGACATTAAATACTTCTTTTTTCCGCAGGGAGATGCATTGAGAAATAATCTTTTGGCGCGTTATTTCGGCAAAAGTTTTATACAAAATCCGGAGAATGTTGAAATTGGAGTAACCCGTAGCGCAACTATCACCCATGGTCCAGGAGGTAGGTCGTGAGATATAAATATAAAATTACAAAAACATACATTTTGTTATTTTGAATACCTAATAGCAAGATGATGATTTACAGCGAAAATATTAAGCCGAGCTGGTAGAACGTTGCATGACGTGCAAACTCACCTCGACCGCGAAGGTGCTTCAGATTTAGTGGTAGAATTGGTGATTAAGAGTGTACATTCTCCGAGCATATTTGTAGAGGCCGTGGAACTAGGTATTGCACTCTTGGAAGGTGGAAATCCTATTATACAGAAGAGTATGTTTAATAAATTAATGGGTGGCGATTTAAGTCAATCATTCTTCAAGGTTGGTCTCGTGACGACATTCTATAATATACTCATAGACGCATTTCACGTTATTATTTTATATACAGGTGTTTTATGATAAAATGAAAGATTCTCAACAAGAGATTAAATCTACTGTGACAGTAAATACATCCGACATGGCAGCGAAAGCACATGAGGATAAGGAGGGCAAAGAAATAGACAAGTTGTCGCGGAAACGTGGATCAGGTATAAAATTGAATAAATATTCTTGAAAATACACTAAATTATAATTTTCCATTTAATTCTGGTTATATTTATATATTATATACATATATTAAATGTACGTAAATTTTGAAAATACATATTTCCGAAGATATATATATATATATATATATATATATATATATAAATCTATAATTCTATATTCTATATTAATTAATTAAACACGTTTCACATACGTATATAGGAAAGCCTAATGGTATGGTAATAACTGACGAGCTACACGAGGAATTGAATCAAGTCGCGGTGTCCAATGCACAGACATACGCCAATATGCGCAATGGTTTTGCACCTGGCGAAGACATGACAAATAATGTATTAGATGACTTAAGTGAAAAGTCAGATAGAAACAAAAGTGGAAATGCATCTGGTTCTGAGAAGGAAGAAGGCCAATTAAGTCCTAAAGTCTTAGTGATGCAACCAATTCTACGTTTCTTACAGTTACTCTGTGAGAATCATAACAGAGAATTACAGGTGCTCTTATTTGATTAAAATTTATATAAAATTCATTATGATTTTATTCATTTTGATATTAATAATCATTTTTCCTTCTACAGAATTTCCTAAGAAATCAAAATAATAAAACGAATTTCAACTTGGTATCCGAAACTCTCATGTTTTTAGACTGCATATGTGGTTCTACTACCGGTGGATTAGGTCTTCTTGGTCTCTACATTAACGAATACAATGTAGCATTAATTAATCAAACTTTGGAGACGTTAACGGAATATTGTCAAGGACCGTGCCATGATAATCAAAACTGTATTGCCACACACGAATCTAACGGCTTGGACATTATAACAGCATTGATATTAAATGATATCAATCCTTTAGGAAAGTCTAGAATGGATCTGGTACTGGAATTAAAAAATAATGCCAGTAAATTATTGTTAGCGATTATGGAAAGCAGAGGCGATAGCGAAAATGCCGAAAGGATCATGTATAATATGAATCCAAAACAGCTTGTAGATGTGGCATGTAAGGCTTTTCATCAGGAATCATTGGACGACTCCAGCGATATCGACGATTCTTCGACGAACGCAGAGGAAGGAGTATCGCCCAAAGAAGTAAGGAAATAGTATATTTTAATTAATATTTTATGAGTAAATTTATATAATTTTTTAATTTTATATACTTTGTTGCAGGTCGGGCACAATATTTATATCTTGTGCCATCAATTAGCGCAACACAACAAAGAGTTGGCAGTGATGTTGAAGCCATCAGAACAGAATAATGCTGATCCAAAAATTAACAAAGCATTGGACTATTACGCATCTCATACAGCTCAAATAGAGGTATATGTGAAAATAATTACTTTGAAGAGTAATATAGAAGAGTAACAACATTTTCATTTTAGATTGTGAGACACGATAGAACACTTGAACAAATTGTTTTCCCGATCCCGGAAATTTGTGAACTTATAACTGAGGACACAAAAATAAGAGTGTTGAACACTACAGAACGAGATGACCAAGGATCGAAAGTTTCTGATTTCTTTGAAAGAACGGAAGATATGTTTAATGAAATGAAGTGGCAAAAGAAACTTAGAGGTACGTCTATTGATTAAATACATTCGGTATTATTATAAATTAATTTTTATTTTTATCTCGTAGGACAACCAATGTTATTCTGGATGAGCAGTTATATGTCGCTGTGGAGTAATATTTTATTCAATTGCGCCGTTCTTATAAATCTTATTGTAGCGTTTTTCTATCCGTTTGTGGATTCTGTGCCTAGTAAGTTTTTAATTAATGAAGTTTGAATCTTTGGCATCTTACGTTTTAAAATATAATGAATGATTTTTGTCCCGTTTAGAACTCAGTTATCATCTATCAGCTTTAATTTGGACGGTTATGCTTGCGTCTGCTGCTATCATTATCACTTTGCCAAGAGAATCCGGTATACGTACCTTTGTTGCGTCAACGATATTGAGATTGATTTTTTCCGTAGGTCCAGAACCGACGTTGTGGTTACTCGGTTTTGTTACGGTAAAAATATTTTAATTTTACACACGCATGTAATTTATAATTGATCATTATTTTTACGTATTTTTAAATGTATATATTATATTTATATTACAGATTACATTAAAAGTTATACATCTTATAAGTATTATAGGTAATCAGGGTACTCTGACTAGAAGTGTAGAACAAATAATAACGAATATCGAACTTTTGTATCACATGTCGTATTTAATATTCTGTGTTCTGGGAATTTTTATGCATCCATTTTTCTACTCAGTTTTAGTAAGTAACTCGTTATTTACAACTCTTTTTACAAATACGTACAGAATTATAAAATTGTTATTTCTTTCAGCTTTTTGATGTAGTTTATCGTGAGGAGACTTTGCTCAATGTAATAAAATCCGTAACTCGAAATGGAAGATCTATCATACTTACTGCTGTGTTAGCCTTGATTTTAGTTTATATGTTTTCCATTATCGGTTTTATGTTTTTCAAAGACGACTTCCTCGTTCCTGTGGATGATGAGATTATATGTAAGTTTAATCTCTTGTTAGATTTATATAGACATACTTAAATTTTACGAACAATGGTTTAAAACTTATTTAATTCGTAGCTTCCATTGAGCAAAGAGTTGTGAATACTTGTAGTGCCGATGACAAGGAAAAATGTGAACCTACGGAAACTATATCACGTTACGTTAGTGGAGGTAGATATATACTAGAATAGTATTGTTTGACTCTTTTAGATTTCTAAATGTGAAAATGTGTAATAAATTGAAATAAATTAATAATTTAGCAAATGAACAAGAGCATAAACCTGAAGTAATTAATGTTGGCGGAGAGTTAAAAGAACGATCGTGTGATTCACTCGTCATGTGCATTGTTACTACGTTAAATCAAGGGTTGAGAAACGGTGGTGGAATAGGAGACGTTTTACGAGCACCTGCTAGCGTTGTAAGTACAAGAATGTTAAAAATCATGATAAACTTATTTAATAAAAAATCTGTTGTATTCTAGGAACCTTTATTTGTTGCAAGAGTCGTGTATGATTTACTATTCTTCTTCATTGTGATAATTATCGTTCTGAATCTCATCTTTGGTGTGATTATTGATACTTTTGCGGATCTTAGATCGGAAAAGCAGCAAAAGGAATTGATTTTGAAAAATACTTGCTTTATTTGCGGTAATTATTTATTAAAATCGATTTTTTATAATTCAGTCACGTATCTACTATAATGTGATATAAAATGTGTTATTATTGTCTATTTAGGTTTGAATAGATCAGCTTTTGACAACAAAACAGTTTCCTTTGAAGAACACATAAAACATGAGCATAATATGTGGCATTATCTTTACTTCATTGTCTTGGTGAAGGTGAAAGATCCGACCGAATTTACAGGTCCCGAATCGTATGTTTACGCAATGGTCAAGGTAATAGTTCATAGAGCTTGAAAAATTTGGGCGATGCTTATATCTTTAAGCTCTATGTACTTTCACAGGATCGGAATTTGGAATGGTTCCCAAGATTGCGGGCTAAATCATTAGCCGCGGATGAAGGTGAAGGAGAACAAGTGGAACTAAGAAGTTTGCAGTCGCAATTAGAATCCACGCAGCTGTTAGTTAAATGTCTGTCCCAGCAACTTACGGAGCTTCGTGATCAAGTAACAATCACTGACATTCTTTTAAATTATTTTAGAAATCGGCAAAAGTGTCGAAGATATCAAGCAATCAAATGATATTAAATACATATCATATAATCTTATTTTCTTTTTTAATAGATGACGGAGCAACGAAAGCAGAAGCAGCGGCTAGGCCTTCTGAATTCTGCATCTGCAATTTTGCATAATGTACCCACGTAAATTTAAGATATGTATTTTATAATTTTCTTCTTATCCTGGACGAATCTCAGTTTGATACTCCGAGACAGTGGATACGTAAAGATATTCGTGTGTTCTTACTGGCATTTAAGAATACGAATGTATATCGAATAGGTGATCCGAGGCATTTTTACGGTTTTGTTCCTAATTTTAATGAAAGTAAAGTACATTTAGGGCATTAAGATTATCATTCTTCCTTTACTATAAAGGCTCTCGACTCAATTTATCGATCAGTCATCAAGGAATCCGAATACCGTAAATTGCATTGTTTATTAATGTATGAATATTGTTTATATAGAAAAATAAGCGTATCCATTGATATATTAGAATAAGTAAATTACTTAAAACTTCCAATTACTAAACTGTTGTAAGGTAATATTCTAATGTCTTTTAGAATATTCTTGTTTTTATATGTGATCACTCTATCTTTTAGTTTTGCCATTAATATTTATACATATCCAAATGGATACATTACATATTATTATATCAGCATTTTATAACAGTTATAAAGTTTTATATTTTTTTCGCGTTATCAAAGCCATGGTTGTGTTATACGAATTTTCTTTTCGTAGACAATAAAGATTTTTTTTAATCTAGAAATATAATTGAGAGAGAAAATATATTTGTAAAATTGTACAGATTTTCTGTATCATATATTTAATTATATATATTTAGATTATCTGTTTCTTCGACATAATTTTTTTTTGGAGATATCAAATTCTTTATGATTACATAATTGATTATTTTAATTTTATGTAAATGAATAAATGCGATAAAACATACGAAATTAAAATATATGCTTTAGTGAAAGTACATATTTAATTTCGTATAATAATAATAATAATACGCTCAAATTTTAATATTGTTAAATGTTGTTAAAATTTATCTTTTAGGTTAATATATCATTAATGATGATTTAGAATGCGATTAGAAGTAATTGCGAAAAATTAAAATATGCAATTATAATATTAAATTTTTATTTTAGTTTTGTTGAAGATAGTCGTATTCACATGCAATATTACTAATATAATTAACGAAAACATGATAGATAATTAATAGGGATCAATGGACTCTCATATATGTATAGGAAAAATCTTTTCAAATTTCAGATATTATATGATGAAAAAGTTTTAGAATGTTGTTGTCTGACTATTGATTGTTAATATATAAACGATAGTTGACATATTATAAATTTTAATCGAGTTGTGTTAATCTTATGATGATATAAATGCATATTATCTGAACATTGCATGCATAACAGCGATGTTATGGAGTTTATGGAATTAAAATTTAACTCGTTTTCATAATACTTGAGATTTATGTCTATGTGCGAATATATAAAATAATACTTTTTGTTTGTTTTTGATGTAATATCAAATGTAACGCAACTGTATATATTTTATTAGATAGTGTAATTGTTAGAAAAATGAAACAGTGTCACTTAGAGTAAATTACTTTTCATTCTATCGTATGTTATTAATTATCGATTATACACATACCGCGCGATCTCTTTTCATTTTCTCTTTCTTTTATGTCAGACATACCAGATTGTACTGTTAAAATCTTTAAAGAATTTAAATAATATCTATTACTTTTAATGTTTACCTCGTGTTTATTACATAATATACATCGTTTTTATTATATAATATACAACATGTGTAATTACATTGTGCATGTAGATTGCGTTCATACTTACGTGTGTGAATAAATTATGTTTTTTTAATGATTCTATTTATTACATGATATTCTTATATTTGTGATATCTTAACTTTTTATAATAAATTTGCTTATAAAGCAATATATTAATAGTATAGAAAAAATTTCATTATAAAAACAGTATAAATACGCATTATATATAATTTTTATAATAATATATAACTTTTATGTACAGTAAATATTTTGAGGATTGCAGATTTTAATACATAAAAAGGGAGATTTTAATTATAACTAATTTAACTTGACAATGCATCTATCTCGTTCCTTCTTACAATTAGTTCTATGTGAGATAAAAAAAAAGAATTAATAAAATGCTTGTACATAACATATAAGAAATATACAATAGCATTTATGTATTAATTTAAATTTATTTATTTATCTGTATATCATGGTTCTTTTATTTCTTTGGTGTCTATAAATTTATGTTGCGATTATTGCATTATGTACTTAAATAATTCATTAATCATTAACTGTAATATAATATAATATGTTTTAATATCGCTACACGTATTATCAATAAATTAATAATTAATAAATAATAAAATCAGATAAAATATGAAAGAATGCGACACATTAATGAAAGAAAAGATATTTTTTTTACTGATCTAGATATTTTAAAAATATTTCGTACAATTTCTTTTTAGGCTGTTGCAATTACGAGATTTATTCATATTTTTGGTTTCGCTGTGTTTATTGTGCGTTTTTTCATTTCCTGTAATTTTTTAATTGGATCATACACAATCGCTTAAAAATTTGCAGTTATTGGGTATTGATGTGTAACAGAATTAATGTTTTATTTTACTTTATTTAGACTTTATATGAAACAATTGACTATTTATTGTGACTTATTATATATATATACGCGGCTAGTACATGTACATACATGTAACACGTATTTTTCTTTCGTAGGTCGCACGTTTGTGTAAAGTCGGTATGCTTTTCAAATGAAAAGCCAGCTATCGTATAATACGCAGTGATAATGCAATTTCTTCACAGATGTGAGGATATTTGTATGAACACAAGGGCACGTGGGATTTGTCATATTTCCTGTCTGGAAAATTAATTTCTCCACATTTTTCTTTCATATCTACGTTTTTTATATAAATCATTACATATTGCTGCGTTTCGATTCCGATTTCATTGGATCAGTCGATTCTGCGATAATTAAGTATATAAGGACTTTCATGTCTGTTTTGACGAGGTTTCTTCGACATAGTTTGCTTATCTTATGAATTATAACATAACGTATTCATCGAGTGTCTCTTGCGTTACATTAAATAATGAATTCAATTCGTTCAGTAATGACGTATAAAAGTAATTCAATCTGTTACAACAATGAACATTGAAAAATCCTCAGACAAATCCTCCTGATAAGTTTAATGTATCAGTAATCAATTTATTCGAATACATTATTTCTTTAAAGCAAAAGATGCAGCATTAACACAAATTAATATAATTACGAGTTACATTCTGAAAATTTTAAACATAGATTCGATAGAAAGACAACAAGATTTCAACATATTTATCTTTAAAATGAGATCATGAGTATTCATGAGATCATGTGTATTCATAAAAACTAAAATTTATCAAGGAAGATATAAAGATACAGGAACGTAATATGATTTTCTTTGCATTGTATTTGAGATACAAAGATTCTTTTAGAGAAAATACTTGAAAATGACTAGTTTTATTATACTTAGGCCAACACGTTACATTATATTACGCTTTATACTTAATTGGATGTAAAAAAAAACAACGGGATCTCTCGTGGATTTATTATAAAATTAATAGAAATTTGTAGAAATATTTACGCAGCGTTGTACAACCTGCGAAGTGCACGAGCTGCGGTCTGGTTCTACTGGCTGGCATTTTGGTGAAATCGCATACATTAATTAATTATTTACGATCTAGCATTTATTCCGTTTTTTTTATTCCTTTTAATAATCAATCGTAAATTTGCCAGCGGAATCGGCACGTTCCATCCCCATGAGATACTTGGAAAACGGATATCCGGTGTGAATTCTCGATTGACGATCCCTCGAGAGAGGAAGAGAGGGGGGAGAGAGAGAGAGAGAGAGAGAGAGAGAGAGAGAGAGAGAGAGAGAGAGAGAGAGAGAGAGAGAGAGAGAGAGAGAGAGAGAGAGAGAGAGAGAGAGAGAGAGAGAGAGAGAGAGAGAGAGAGAGAGACAAAGACAGACAGACAGATAGTGGATCGATAGTTTTGTCAGGATGAGAGTATCCATTCGGCTGACAAACTGTATAACAATAAATCGCGAAGTGCCCACGCGAAGCTCGTTCGTTAAAATACATTTTTTCTTCTTCTTTCGTCCTTATTCCGCAGCCGCGTAAGATTACTTATTTTATCGTTATTTTACAATAATCCACTTAGACTTAGGGTAGACAATTAATCGTGTTCTGTACAAATTCTATTAACGCCGCTATCTATGTACACATGTCGCTACCGTTGGTTGTAATCTCTTACACGTACGTATAATTTTTGGCATTCGCGTGAAAGAGAGGTGACTCGTGTGAATTCTCGCTACTTCAAATCCGTGCATCGCGTTCTTGCATGTAATCTGCTTTATATATGTATAATATATACAGACGCCAGATCGAGCTGACATTAACATACTTTAAGTAAAAGTTTAAAAACAATGAAAAAAACGTGAAAATATAAAGGGAAACAGTACTTCGATATTTCCAGAAATGATCAGAGAAATTGCGATTTTAATAAGGACCCTGCAGCTTTAATCCAGCAGCTAGTTTATAAAAACGTTTTGGAAAATTAAACAACCGAGATCCACAATAAAAGATTAAACAATAATATTTTAAATAAAGAATATTAAAGAAGATTAATAGAATGCATATTAGAATATATACTAAATATTATAAAATATATTAAAGAGTAATATTAAAAAATAATATTTTCCTATATTTTAATACTAGAAGTACCGAGCGGTTATTTCTGACCATTTTTATTCTTCAAATTAATATCTTCTCTTATATTAAAGATACAATTTTGAAATTTTCTAACTTTTATTATTCTCTTTATTCTGATGGAGAATATTGAAATTAGAAATTTTTAAAATTCTACTCTTGAATCTACTCTTGGATCTGATGCACCTGAGAAAAAGCACCTGATAAATCATAATCTTTATCCTTGATATTACAAAAAATATTAATTAAAAGAAATAAAAACGATTAAAAATAACCGCTTGGTATTTCTAGTGTTAATAACAATTGTGTAAGGAGTATAGCAAGGAAAAATCTTGAAACAACTTTTATTATTTATTTGCATGAAGAATATAAAAAGTTTCAAATTAATTGGACGAGGAATGGACAATCTAGACTTTACAGATCCATATCTTTAGATCGAATGACAATGTGAGCTAATCACTTATTAAATGTGCTGATCATCATTTTTCATTAATTCCAACGTACATGTATGTATGCGTGAGTGTGTATAATATGTATACGTACGATTCGATCGAAGAATGGTAAACTCTGACTCGTTAACTTCCCGTTCACACTTCGAAAGATTGAGTCGTACATTAGAGTGAAAAATATAACAGATCGATCGAAATTTTCTCGGTATTTATTCCCTGCGTCGCACGCACGGCACGTTTCCTCTTCTGCGCTTAAAATATTTCTCTCGTGATAATTACGCAGACGGGAATTAACGAGCCAGCCCGCAAAATCTCGACTGTCGATTGGGGATGTCGTGGGGGGCGGAGGGGGTGCCATCTTCATAAAACATCTCACATCGAGCGACGTAAAACGAGGACCGGCACGAGTCCTCATCGTTTATATACACGTGAGACAGTGAGTTTTCGCGGTTCAATTAACAGGAACGTGTCTGCATTAACGCGATTTTCCCCTGAGCTTAACAGTCTCAAGTACAGTCAAACGAACGTGCGAGTAGGATCGCGAACATAACGAGGATAAAGGCCATTCCCCGCGGCTTAGTTTTACTCGACGAGCCCACTACGTGCCAGTTCGGAGCTGGCGATGGTCCACTTTGGCGAGTATTGGCGATCACTGTCAGACTTCGCCATCTCATCGTGTATTGCGGGGCAGTCCTCCCAAGAGCCTGCAGCCTGAAAGGCAGATCAGATCTTATTTATACGCGTTGATCTTTCACTTATTCAGTTTTACTCTTTTTTTTTTTTTTCAATAAACATCATATGAAGAGAACGTTTTGTTGAAATATCTAAGAATTTTATTAGATTTAAATAATTAAGCCTGATAACAATACTCTGCAAAATATTTTGACACTCTCAGCAGTTAATTTGAACGTCCTACATAATTATTTTAAGCCCAACAAAATTATTTTCAAATCAGAACTTTAAATTTTTAGATACTTGAAACTATTTTTTTCATGTATGTAATTTATCTGAAACTATTCATATCTTTTGATGTGAAGACGGCGGCCACGATTTTTTTTTTTATATTTTTGAAGTATTTCAAAATTTACAACGACCGATAACTACAGAATATCGATGAATGCAAATTTAGTGGGAATTTGACATTGTCGAAGTTTCGATATATGACGACAGTTTCTTCGTAATTTTCCCTCTTTCAATTTCTTAGATAATTCGAAAAAAATTATTTTCGAAGTATAATAAAAATGACTCTGTCGTTGTTCGATTCAACCGCATCGGTCACTGTCAGAGTCACTGATAAAGTACCCCGCGAAGAAGCTGCTGTTAAGCATAATTTTTCTTTATATTCCGCAGATTATGAAATAGGGGAGTAATGTGCCGCGGTTGTAACTGGGATTGCCGTCGTAAGGCCGGATGAACGATGGCCGATTGTTAATCAGTGGATAATTTCTTCGTGCGAGACGACAGTAACGGATCGCGCGGGCATCAATTCCCTGGTTTTATGCGGCATACACACGGGGCGCGAGCTCGATCGCGTATACGCCGGTAAAACGCCGTTATATTTCAGCCAGTGTCATAATCTCCCGTCTCGAAACTGTCACGGAACTGTCGTTAAACGTAGCTAATAGACAAGATCGCGGCGAAACTTTCGCCGGGTTAATCGGCCGAGGTGAGCGCCGGGGGTTGAAGAAACTCACCTAACCACCGCGGTATTCATCTTCCACGGCAGGGTGAAATTCTTGTGCGTGTCCCTCGAGCAGAACGTGTGCAGTCTGAGTCCAGCAGGATCGCCGGTCTTGTTATACTCGTGTATCGTCAGGTTCCACGCCGTGCAGGGTCCTGTTAAGTGGAAGAAGCGTAGCATAAAGTGGACAGGCGTCGCGATAATCACGCGTATTATAATAATACAAATTTGTTCTGACATAAACGTATGTGTGCGAGGGTGTTGTAACACGTTCAAATAAATCAAGCATATCACAGGTATTACGAGTCTCTGTGCGATGCACGAGTGGAAGAAGCATCATTCTAAATGTACCATCATTAATCTCGGACTTCTTCTCACCGAAGAAGAATTTCCTAAATTAGCCTATGCATCGGACTTAAATATCTTTCCTGAATTTACCTTTGCTTTGTAGTTATTTCCAAGTGAGTTCTTAATTAATCTTGTTATTTAAATATGCAATGATTATAGTAACTTGCAAGGATTACGTAAGTAAATACTCCTGTTTATCTTTCATCCTACGAAGAAGTAATACCGCGTGCTCGAGAGGCTGGTAGAGTTCTGTTTATTATCAGAATTCTTGTTATTTATACGGTAAATATTTTGGCGAACTTCTCTCATTCTCGAAAGTGCACCATTCAAAGATGAAATTTCATAAGAAAGGCAACTGGACGGAGAGGAGAGAAAGAGAGAAGAAGCACGGTAGTACCACGCGGCCTAAGAGAGGTATATTAAAGCCATTTCCGATGCCGGCGTTTGCGGGGCTTTGGTTACGGCTCTGACTCTATTTATAATGTTCCGTAAGGTGGCGAGGAGGAAGAAAATGAAAAAGCTATGGAGCGAAGGTAGAAACGAGAAGATGAAAGGAACGGGGACAGCGACATTTCTATGGTGAAGTTGCGGATGGAGTGTCGTCGAGGATGGAGTAATTCGATTCGCGGCGGTTCATAAAGCGGACGGTTTCATAGAAGTGCACGAAGCCTCATTAATTCATTTAATAATTCACTCGTTACTTATTGCCGTACTCCTTTAGCGAGTGAATACACGCCCTGTAATTACATCCACGACATTGACATAAGAAAACGGGGCGCGCCTCAGAGGAAATCTTCTTTTTTATATCAAATCTCGTCCGCATAATCCATCCATATAAATCGAAGCTTCCTATACAGAGTTCAATATATATTCTCCCTTTCATATATTCGTGAAGCAATAAAATGCGTGTTTTCTTGAAACATTGCAGAGAGTATTCTCCGCATCCAATAGATGATATTCCTCCATACAAACGTACAGGTCACAATTTATGTATTGTTTTTGTATTGTTACATGTGTACACATATATCTCGCTGCATCGATCGGTCGCGAGAGCTCGAAGAGAAAATGGAAACCGCTGGCGAGAAAGACTATTAAATAAATCTCGCTTCAAATTATAATTGAATGATAATATCGCGCAATGAAAAGCCGCTAGTATCGGATGCTCAATTGCGCGATAAAAGATGGCGTACACGATAACACGTAAAAATAAAAATAAATTTTCGTTCACAAATACAGCCGATCTTACATCAGAAGGAGCAATATTCCTTACTGCATTTCACCTGAGAGGAATAATCGTAATATTCCCAGATCGAATATAAGCAATAAGTAGTCGCTTTTGTCGTACTTGTAAGATGACGATTTATGTACTACAGAAACGTGAGAAGACGGAAAAGAGGAAGAATGACACAAAGAGAGAGAAGGAGGTGGGGGGGGGGAGAGAGAGAGAGAGAGAGAGAGAGAGAGAGAGAGAGAGAGAGAGAGAGAGAGAGAGAGAGAGAGAGAGAGAGAGAGAGAGAGAGAGAGAGAGAGAGAGAGAGAGAGAGAGAGAGAGAGAGAGAGAGAGAGAGAGAGAGAGAG